AGGGACTTTAACCCTTAAACAGGAATAAAAGAGACAAGTATAAAAAAATTAAAACAAATAATAAAAAAAACTGATTAAAATGTGTTAAAACAGGTTATAAAAGAATGAAAAAGAAAAAGAAAGACATATTAGTGAGGTCTGTAAAATACATTCTATATTTTTGTATTATATGGATGTGTGTGTTTTGACTTTTTTTGTAATTTTGTTTAGTTCAGGAATTTGTTATATTTAGGTATTCAGGTAATTTTAGTTTACCAGGCAGAACTGGCGGGTTCTTGATTTCTTGGCAACCAGCTCTAATAAAAATAGCTTAAACAATAAATATAAATACATGTTTCATATTTCTACTTCACTCTTAATCAGTATTCTGTTACTTTTAAAATATTTAAATAAATTAAAAAACCTAAATTATATAAAAATAATTTATAATATAACCGGGTGGCACTCCTGTCAGCTAGGACCAGGAAACTGAGGCTATAAATCGCAAAGGCTCACCAAAATTGGACAATAGAAGATTGGAAAATGTTGCCTGCTCTAATGAATCTCGATTTCTGCTGCGACATTCGGATGATAGGGTCAGAATTTGGCATGAACAACATGAAATCATGGATCCATCCTGCCTTGTATCAGCGGTTCAGGCTGGTGCTGGGGGTGCAATGGTGTGGGGGATATTTTCTTTCCACACTTTGGGCCCATTAGTACCAATTGAGCATCGTGTCAACAGCCTACCCGAGTATTGTTGCTGACCATGTACATCCCTCAACAGTGTACCCATCATCTGATGGCTACTTCCAGCAGGATAACTCGCCATGTTATAAATCACAAATCATCTCAGACTGGTTTTGTTCAAATCATGGCAATGATCGTTAAGACATGGCAATGAGTTCCTTGTTCTCAAATGGCCTCCACAGTCACCAGACCTCAATCCAATAGAGCGCTTTTGGGATGTGGTGGGACAGGAGATTCGCATCATGGATGTGCAGTCAACAAATCTGCAGCAACTGTGATGCTACCATGTCAATATGGACCAAATTCTCTGAGGAATATTTCCAGTCTCTTGTTGAATTTATGCCACGAAGGATTAAGGCAGTTATGAAGACAAAAGGGGTCCAACTTGGTACTAGTAAGGTGTACCTAATAAAGTGGCCGGATGTATTTTATTTATTTATTTCATTCATTCATACATTAATTTTCTTGTCGGCTTAGTCCCTTTATTAATCCGGGGTCACCACAGCGGAATGAACCGCCAACTTATCTAGTAAGTTTTTACACAGCAGATGCCATTCCAGCCGCAACCCATCTCTGGGAAACATCCACACACACATTTACACACACACACGCA